GCCGGTGAGAGCTGAATGACAGGGAGAGACCAGAGATAGGCGGATTACCCGGGAGGGTGTGGCACGTCCCCTACCAGAGGCTTTACTCCTCCCTCGCGCCTCGGATGCCCCTACAAATCTTGTCTACCAGCTCCCCTTGACTAGTTGCACGGGCACTTCTGTTCGATATGGGAGACCGAAGTCTGTCCTTCCTCGTGGACTACCTCAGTACCACTGCCATTTTCAGAGGAGGGTGACCGAACTGTGTGTAGTAATTACCGCGGGAATACCCTAAGCTATGTGACTGTCTAAACCTTCGCACGAGTGGTACTTTCCGGCTTTGCGATGAGAGGAAGCGGCAAATTCGTCATAACCAAGGTGGCTTTCGTCCAGGCAGCGTCTGAACTGGCCAAATCTTTACTCTAGGTCGAGTACTCGAACACTGTTACCAGTTCCAACAGTCCACCATTGTGTACCTCGTTGATTATCGAGCTGCTTTTAACTCAGTTAACTGCGAGGCACACTGAAAAATCCTTCCGGCCGATGGCGTGGCGGTTAAACTCGTTAACTTGTTGAGATCCTACTACCGTTGCATGAAGGCCCGGATTCGAGTTTATCGAGAAGGAACAGAGGAATGCGACATCAATACTGGAGTCCGGCAGGATTGTCCACTTTCTTCAGTGCTGTTCAACTTCGCAGTCGACTGGGTTATGCATTATGCCCTTGAGAGCTATCGTGGTGTTCAACTTAACCCTGACTTTTGGCTGTCAGATCTAGAATTTGCTGACGGTATCGCTATCCTTGCGGAAGATCCTATATCACTACAGTCACTGCTAAATCGGCTGGACCAATCAGCCTGTACGATCGGCCACAAAATTAACATCAGTAAGACAAAATACTTCTCATCCTTAGCCACCCAGTGCGTCTCGTTGCTCTCCTAACCTAGACAACTTATTGAATCTGTTCCTGAGTTCAAGTGTCTTAGATCCACCGTACTCCCCGAAGGACAGGCTACAGCCGACATCCGGAATCATATTGGCAGCGCTAGAACAGCGTTCTTACAACTGAAAAGCACAGTGTGGAGGACGGAAATTAGTCTAAGAACGAAGGTCCGAGTTCTCTCTACAACCACTCGTGCAATTTTATGGTTGCGAAACATGGGCGCTGTAATCCGAAGAGACCCGGAAGCTGGAAGTTTTCGAGCATTGGTGTCTAAGGCTTATCTTGGAAATGTAGTGGTATGAGCGTATCAACATTGACGAAATCCGTAAGCGCTGTTACGGTCTTCCGAAGCTCACAAGGTTCACTGAACGCCGCAGACTTCAGTGGTTTGGTTACGCCCTCCGCATACTAGCTTGGAGTAGTAGCAATTGTGGACGATTGAAAACGTGGCTCACTGCAGTGAAATCAGATGTCGATCTTCTGGCACTCCATATTGTTTCTGGTGCTTGTCATTGGAGGAAAGATTTGGATTGGTATCTGCATGGAGCTTGCCGCCGACCGCCGCGCTTGGGCAGCTGTAGTTCGCGACATTCATGAAGCCGACTCATCTTGTAGCAGCAGCTAGTCGCATTAAACTAAGTAAGTACCTAGTGATGCTGTGAAAGTGCGTGGAATACGTGAATGTGGCATTAAAAGCGATAGGTCCTGCTTTAGTTTTGAACATTACCAACTGCTTTTTTAAACATATTTGAAAACGCCAGCAGGCCAGACAACGGAGCTCGTAAAGCAGTCCTTCTTAACCCGTATCACTGTTGACAGAACATGTGGCGTCCACAACAAGCTTGGCAGTCACCAACCGTCGTTCATCCTTGCACTCTCCGCTCACCTTTTATCTGTGTGTGTGTTAGTAGTCAGGGTAGGTTGGACAGATTGGACCATTGATGGCTGTAGCTTTGATAAGCCAACAGATTATACAAAGTTTTGCTGTGTCCCTCATATGCACCTATCCTCTTTATACCTGAATTACACTGCCGTACACTTTACTAAGCTATGTCTTACAACTGTACATATTACGTCTGATGAAACTGAGAGTGTTCGTTTAACTGAAGGTGTCCAATTTCATGACGGTAATTTAGGAACAGAATTAAGAAACAGTTGGGTTGATCGTTTTTCATTAGTGGTGCTAGACATGATCCTATCAGCAACAAATTTGCGACTTTGCGTCTTACTTCTCCAGACTTATTCAGAGATCTATTGGTTTTCGCATTCAGACGTTCAACGCAGACGATCCCTATCTAACCAAAAACAAACCTGAGGTAGGATGCTGGACTCAGGATTGATATGAAGGAATGTCCGTATAAGATGGAGATTTGAAAAAAATGGATAAGGTCCAGCTACTGACTTGGAGATAGCATTTTAATAGATCCACATCTTTATTACTCTTGGCAACTGCGAAGATTGACTGGAAAATTCAAATTGAAAGCAAGATCTGCTCCATGAACCCAAGAGGAATTGCGCCTCTGTGGTGTATATATTATCTGGAATTTTGCCGTGGTACTCTAGAGCGGATGAATAACCATGAGACTCACTATTGGGAAGCGAGTCGATTTTACTCAGGAGTAGCTGTGCACCACGATATCACAGATAGCTGATGCAGGATAAGAAAAATCCTCTGAGACTTAGTCGGTTCTCTCGAATTTACTCAGCATTTGATCATCACTATTTTGCATGCAAGTTTTAGAGCGATGGAACTGTCAATTTCTTCTGGAGTTAGGTATGAAACCAACTTCTACAACATCTGGTTGAGACAGCCACTAAATTTATGTTGGATAGTATATAATCTTAAGGCGGCATATTGCGAGACATACTTCTCCTTAATATAAGCGACCTCGCTAGTTAGATCAGCTCAAACCACTGCTCTTTGCCAATACTTGCAAAATACAACCTGCCACTAAGGCAGTAGCTGATCACTACGTTGCTCCGCATGAAACTTACTGGTCGCATCAAGGAATTTCTCATCTCAATTCGACCAATTGATGACCTTTCCATACATCTCACTCGGATACTTAGAAGTACTCGATGTTACAGCCCATCACTTAGGATTGTGACCCTAAGTTGCAGATGCAGGCTAAATTGGATGTGGAAGGTAAACCAGTAAGTCAGCAAGAACAGCCACTCACAAAGCTGGTCTCTTGTGAAGAACATTTTAATAAATGGACTAGTTAGTCTACCTCAAGAAACATGCTCACCATTCCCACTAAATGCGCTAGCTAGAACTCAGTCGTCTTAAGCTACTTCAAATAGACAATCAGAAAAATGCAGCAGGCTTTTCAAATTCACTAAAGATTGAACTACAACAGTATATAATTACGTCAACTACTGGACAAACCAAACTGAGTGCTGACACTACCATATCATAGACGTTAGGGGCCAACAACTGAATTTGGTGGTTCAGTATATTCACTTATGTTGCATCTGAATCTTCGTTTCTAACCAGTTAACATGAAATGCTCCTTTGGTAACCGTCACGTCTACTCTAAAACTGGCTTCGGCTAATTCGAAATACGGTGCATCAAGTATTAAGAAATATAAGGTTGTTCGAAACATAGCATGGAGTATCCAAGTTGTTGTCCCTTCATGCTGAGGGAAAACGCAGGGGATGCAGTGTGACAAAGAGAAGGAATATTGTGACTACTTGGGCGAAAAATATGACACTCCGCCGATAGGTCATTTGCTCGATAACGAACTTCCTGAAGCAACTGCACTATGGAAATATTTTCGTGTTTCTCCTCCCCCCAACAGTGGTACATCACTACTGCGGTTTCGTCCTGGTTTGGACTCATCAGGTGGAGATAACTTGAGCTATGGTGGAACGCAGAGCCTATTGGTTCACGTTTGACGCCATAAACACTATGCCACCGAGATCCACGAACAACCCTTGGTACAGCGGGTTCTCCAAGTCCAACTTTTGCATTCGTTTCCGCTTTACTAAGAGTTGCTCTCTGGTCTCGGTGCCATAGTGTTTACGGTGTCCGCCGTGAATCACTATGCTCTGGGTTCCACCTCAACTCAGGCTATCACCATCTGATGAGTCCAAACCAGGACAAAACCGTGGTCGTGGTGTGTCAGTTTTGGGAGGAACAACACTGAATCATTTCCGTTTCGGATACGGTCATTGCGATCGGAATGACCGATGTTCACCTCAAAATGTATCGAGGTCTCAATCGAGGCTGAGTGTCACAACCCAACCACACAGCGCGTTCGCTAAGTTTAACTTGCAATGGCACAATGCTTGCTCAGTTCGGCTCAAATCCCTAACGGGAAGTGTAGCGCGAGTTCTTCTATATTTGTAACCCACGGTTACGCTGTTGAGCCATCGTATTGTTCGCTAGCTTTTCTCATTAGGCTCACCAATTTGAGTAGATGGAATACACGAGAACAATCCGGAATACAATTCAGTAAACGTACCAAATTACAAGGGGTACAATCAACATGAGGGGCGAAAATGTGCCAGGTATGTGCAATGGTAGGTCAACTTTTGTCACCTACTTACTTGTCAGGCATATATGAAAACCACATGCATGTTAAATAGTAGCAGTTTTGTAGGGACAGCATGGACACTGGTGTATGCTCTTTTGTACTGCTGGCATTTCACACTCGCTAATTTTTGTGTGTGGGGCGCGACCAAATGGTGCTGACAAGAACCATAGCTTCCATGAGTACACGAAGTGGTATTCTAGTAACCAGATTTGTCCAACCAGTGTTTAACAAACATTGGGACATTCAGAACTTCTAATTCAACGCTTTCCTTTTAAAGGATATCAAAGTGAAAGAAAGTGATTAACATAGCGTAACAGAAGGTTGCTAGATAAACCAAGCAAACCGAACAAACGTCAGCAAAGGCGAAGTTTGTGTTATTACGCCTGTTCTATTATTTCAAAAGAGTGTTTGATTTGTGAATACCGAACTTGATGAATCATAACCTGCATATTCTTTTAACAATACAACTTGATGACAGGCAAAGACGAGCTAAAGATGATTATCGGCATGGACACTACTTTTTTCACTCGTTATTTCAGATGGACGCCTTTTTAGAAGCATTTTGTGCTCTAGATACGGACAACAAAGAAGTCATTTCTTTGGAGGATCTTAGGCATTACAATGAACAGAACAACCTAGAAGACAGTTTTCCCGAGGTAAGTCAATAAGTTTAAGCATTTCATTATTTTTGGGGAACTACACTCAGAATACCGGGCTTTGTAAAATTTCCATTTGATTAATGACACCGGATGCGAAATGGGGAAAGTATTTATTCAAGCGCAAGTATTGCGACATCCCATCTCCGAGAAAACTTTTAAATACTTGCAATGAGCGGAAACATAATTACAATGAGAACCGATATCACCTTTAATGGATTGTCGTACTCATGAACACTAGGCAATGGCGATATTCGGGCAGTATTTTTCAAGGAATTTTATTTTATTGCTTAAGAGCAAATTTTCATTACTTATGAGCACCCGGTATGTGACTAATGATCCTACCGTTATTGCAATGCATCCCATTAGTTTGGGCTACTGGTAGCCTCAAGAATCACACAAGTAACACTGCGAATTATGTTGTTGTTGCATGATAAGCCAACATCAGCAGTGTGCTCACGGGTTGTGTTGCTCACAGAAAATACAGACTTCTAATTCGCTCCGTCGAAATTGGTTTCTGTAGTCGCTTAGAGCCTCTTCCTTTAGATATTAATGCTAAACAGTCTGTGAGTTCAACCTATCCATCATGAAGAATAACTATGAACATCAGGGAGAAAATTTAATTATTTTGCCCTACACCTTAATTACCAGTATCTTCTTGTTGTTCCGGAGCAGCTGGCTAGTTCAACCGTGAGATTTTGAACTTCAAATAAGTGCTCATATATGCTGGCAACCGCCAGTCTTAACGGTTGAACATACTGCATGTTTCGGCTGTTGTAAGGCAACGTTCATATATCAAGAGTTTGATGTGCCATCCAAATATTCACTGACAACATGCATACATCATTTCATTTGTATGCCCAGATAATAACAGTTGGTCAACGTTTAACAATTCTGCGAGGCGCTCCCAGTTTTAATTGCGCACAAAAATAGTCTGTTGTACGTCGCTTTTATCAAACATTTATTTTTGGTTGCGGACGTCAAGCATTCATCCATTCGGTGCAACCTAAGCTATCCGTTCTCGACAGGCGTTACAACTAAGGCCGATATCATTAGCGATAATGGATGTTCAGTCACTTTTATTTTATCTTCAATAACAGCGGTCCTATAAGTAAAAATTGCTTGCCAAGAAAGGATACAAGTACGGGGTCAGAAAAATTCGTGGTTTTGCTGCAAGTTGTGATTTCTTCATAAGTTGAATTGGAGCAATGCAATGGAGCTATGGTCCATAATTAGTAAAATGGCAAATATTTGGTAAAGCCTGTAGAATGGTTGGGCTGAAAACTGTACAATTAAAACATAATGTCGACAGGGTGCGCCATGCGTAACTGAAGTCACCAACAGGTTCAGAGTATCACAGGTGTAAGCTTTCAGTACAATACGGCTGAAGAGATGCTGCAGTTTCAAAACCTAAAAATGGTATATAGATGCTGGTTTCAGTATGTGCTGAGCGGATTACTATAATAATATGAAATGTAGGGTCGCTGAACGAAAACGCTGCATTTTTAAATATTGCATTTGCGACTTTCTTGCAACATGTGCTCGAATAATTCTTTTTTTCAGACATTCCTAAAAGTCTTCGATACGGAGCAGACAGGTACAATCACACTACAGCAGTATTGCAAGACTCTGGGGCTGGTTCCAAAGCAGCTGTAAGTCAGTTGTTGCGAGATAAACACACAACATGGCGGGGGTTGAAAGGCTAAGACTGCTTGTTATATTTAATGCTGCGAAAGTATTTCGTTTGAAACTAATTGTCTATCGTGTCATTACTACCCTTACCATTTTAACTACTTAATCAATTCAGTAAATTTGAGGAAATGATCCAGTTATCAACGGTGTTAAAATTGCAATCGTGTAACTCTGCACATGTCGTGTTTATCAGTGCCTAACTACATGCGTTTGCTTTTTGGGATGTGGATCATTTTCTTAATGATAACAACTGGCTAAAATGATTATCCGCCACAACTACTATCTAATGGCTTTAACCGGTTACCGTAAGGCAAACAATTTGTGGCAATGTGTGTTAGGTGCTGTAGCAGTTTTTACCGCCGACAAACTAGCCATCCCAGCTTAATTTGAATTTTCTTAGCAGAAACACATCATGGATTGGTTTTCTGTAAAGAACAGAATTTTTTTGACGAGGATTCGCTTTCACATCTGTTCGATGACATTTTGTGAATAGTGTGATATTAAGCAAACTAAGTTCGCCACTCGGTGGTATCGTGTGGCTCACAAGCCAAAACTTAGTGAATAGTAGGGGACTTATCATGTTTTTGAAAAGATGTATCGTAACTAGATTCGTCAGGTAGCCACCATACATCCAGGAAAGCGTTAGACGGCTATTTATTGCTATTCGGACAATTCAGTGACGTGCAACCGCCGAATCCTGCAGGCTTCGAACCCATGGGCTTACTCTTACGGGCCAAGAACTCATGCCACTAAGCCATGGGTGACTGCGGCGGACCGCCGTCACTGATATCTAGCTGCGCTACATCGTCATTGCAGCTTATATGCCAAATCGACTGGTGGAAGCTTGCAAACGATCTCGTAGCTCTGGGGGCCAGCTCTGTCATCTGCACGTTCATAACCTGCGTGACAGAGGAGAATGAGTCGTGTTATATCGCAGTTATATACCAGTCCTTGTAGTCAGCCGCCATCATTCATGGCTCAGTGTTACGACTTGCTGGATCGTAATAGTAAGGTAATGGGTTCGAATGGAGCTGGATTCGGCGGGTGCGCGCTTCTGACGAGACCTAATAGGATGAAACGGTCGTCTAGCGCTTTATTAGATGTGTGATGGTTGTCTGGCTGCGTCTAGCTGCGATGAATCCTCTCATAGGCCAAAACTTCATTGATCACGAACAATTGCAAGATATCTGGTACATTTAACGGTTTATACATTGCACATTGTAGTCGAGAGTATCGTCGCCGAAGAACCACCGAATTGCTGGACCAGTTGATATCTTCTGACTTGGAAATAGTGCATGACGATATGGACATGGAGATCAAGGCCAAAATACTGCAGATGTTTGTTGACGATCTTCGAGAATCAGGGCGGCTGCCAAACGTGGATGCTCAGAAGTTGGATAAATCAATTCAGAGACTACGTCAATATCTGGAAGAAAAGTATGGACGAAGTTGGCATGTCATCGTGTCCATCAATCAACAGCTGGCTTGGTTTAGCTATTGCCCAGGGTACATGTTTCATTTCTGCCTTGGCAGATTTGCGGTGCTGATCTGGAAAACGCCATGGGCATGAGCGGTACGGAGGACAATGAATTTTACTAGCACCCAACAAGATGTCGACAGTGTTGAACAAACTGATGTAAAACAGAGGAATTGGTATTTTAATTTTTCACTTACTGTATCTAGTGCGATTTGCATTTCATTAGATAATTTGTTATACGTCTCTAAACGCTGTTTATATGATTGTTTTTAACTTGTTTCAATAATTTAGTCAAAGTTACACTTTTGAGCTAATCGATGTTGACTTTTCTAGAGGGCCTGAAACTATAGCAGCGTCAGTTTGAATTTTCTGCGTTGCTTGATATGCAGATAGCACGTAGTACATTTAAGGTTTTTAAACTTAGTGCGATTGTCAACATAGTCTCAAATAAGCACGAATTCGGAAAATCCCAGTGCTCGATAATCATGGAGTAACCGCTTACTAAGTACGACGCAGTGACTTGGATATTGTTGATATGCCCTAGCTGAAATGGCTGACATAAACTAACACGGACAACGTTAAATAAGTAAACCACACAGCCTAACAATACACAGTATAGGGCCACGTGAATGAAAAAATTCCAGCGGGTACTCTAACTTCAGCTTTAAATTTCAGACATCATGCTACAAATTCAGAAACGCCTATACTTGAAGCCAAACACTCGACGTCCAGCGTCTTCTTAACTGGTAACCCAACAAAGACCGTAGGCAAATAGTTGTGGATACTGTGATGGGACCAAAGCAACCTTCTGAACACCAGCAATATCCCGTCACAGGCAACAATGATTGTCGCCTATAGAACAATATTCCATCAGCTTGAACAGGCAATCAAATTTCAATTTTTCTGTTAAGTTGGTAGTTTACGTGAACTCGGTGGTACTTTTTTTCGAGCTAATTACCGATAGTTGTCGCTTTATGACGATACATCTTGTGCCTCGTTTGTGTTTCGCAAATTCCTTGGACGGTGTCACTAATTTGCACCGATTCACAGAGTGCGGCCTTCTGTAAGCAATTGCTACTAATGCATTGCTAGACTGTTTGGAACATGCGCTTCTGTGTAAACACGAAAACTTTATATAAATGCCGAATATGTGGTAGGAAACTGCCGATCATATTGAATGGCGCGACCAATATGGTGGCTAAGCAGGGAATTGACGATATATGGGTTGATTTGACTAAGGTGTCTAAATCACTCTATCCAACCTTGTAGGCTCCACCGCTACAGTGTTTGCACTCCAACTCCATGGTTGGCATGTAAGATTCTCATAGACAGAAGCTGGAGGTAAGATCCAGGGGATGCTCGTCCGAACTAGTCCTGGTGGTGTGGAGTTTGTTATTAGGTTAACGCTTTTATTGTCCCCAATTTTGAAACTACTGGTGAGTGTTCAGCTCAGAATTGCAAACTTTGTTGATTATTGTCCGATGTGGAAGTTGCCTATGAGAATGATGATCACATGCTATCGGAACTTGACATTATACCAACTTCGTCTAGTCGTTTCAACTGGTCTACCATTCGATGGGAATCAATGAAGCATAGTTCCGATGTAATGTAATCAGTAGATCTCTTAGTGTGCAAGCAGAAGCAAATTGCTGGTACAGAAAATATACCCTTAACGTTAAAGATAGTGCAAACTGACGTAGAGAGGGCGAGTTTCGGTACTGTTCTCTCCCAATCCTGCACTCCCCGATCGACCGGTTTCGTCCTGAGTTGGATTCCTCAGGTCGACATAGGTTGAGTTGAGTGCGGAGCCCAACACGTTTAGCACAACGCAGATGTAGTGTTGATATACTACAACAGTGATATTATACAGATAAAAAAGCTAAGGCTTGACAGGTCTAGCGGGATGGTTGGTAGGAATTACGTAAATCCGAGAAAGAAATTACATTAATGTGAAACGTGCATCTTTGGAATCAGCTTAATATCCAAATGTATATAAGCATATCCGTCTACCCTGATTTCTTGGTGCATTGTGAGCATAATGCGTCTTGTCCTCACTCAGAGAACAGAAATCAAAGTAATTAATGCAGGTGGTATAACGCATCGTCGAGTCGTTTTCAATGGTTAGCGTGGGGGCAAAAATGATAAAGTCAAAAAGCATTCTACGCTTGACTAATTCAAAGATAAAAATAATTGCGGATGTATTCAAGCTAACTTTATTCATTGGTCAATATCAGCTTATGATTATTCAATTTTGTGTTGCGGCTAGTTTTCAGGAGGTGGCGTCAAGCGTGACCCGGTTTTTTCAAGATCTAGTACGCCAGAATTAAATCACCCCGTAGACGGCAATATATGCAGTTGTACATGCCTAGGGTATTTAGTCGCAGATAGTACGACAGGTGGAACAATGCTTTCACACTTTTGGTTGCTCTTCGCTGAAGGGTCTCTAGTGCTATCAGTTCGCGCCTTAATCAGGGATGCTAAGCCTGAATAGCGAACTCTACATAGTGCCTCATTCTCGCATTGAGCATTTAAGAGAGAAGAATACGTCGAATCGCCCGGCGCTCCACGTAATAGACCAACACATTGGTCCGCTGTTTTTGGCGTCTTCAAGAACTGCGCCGAGCTGCCGAGATGTCTTGCACAACAACTCCATTGTTGCGATGGTCACCAAATTTTTAGGTGTAAATGGGATTGTGATGGATACGTACAGTTTTGCACTTTTTCGCGTTGAAAGGGTGAAAATTTGCCTTGACCATTCAGAAACACAGTTTAAGTCACGTTGTATCAGGTGGCAAACTTTGCTGACAACCGATCGCTGGCCATTTCTTGATATCATGGGCTAAAAGCAGGAAGTTTGACTTGGTGACGAACGCGAGGTTTTTAATGGAGACCAAAAATAGGCGCGCCCTCAACACTGGATCCTGTGAAACACTGCATTCCACATTACTGGATCCTGAATAATAGTCATGAACTCAAACATAAAGCCGCCGTTGAAGGAAGGAATTTCTGATCCATCAAAGTACAGGGTTCCAATTCCTTTAATTTGCAGCTTTTGAAAAAGTATGTGATCTTATTACTAAAATGCCCCCGAAAGTTGATATGGGTTCCATGATTGTCGATCCTACTTTCGGTTAGTTTGGTTCAACTGCCACACGCAATCTGCACGTTGGCAATACGTAACCAATGCTGACCGAATCCATGCTGTTTCGGCGCTGAGACTAGATATTTCTAAATGGCCCATTAGTGTTTCAGTTAGGGTAGACTTCATAACTTCTGTGATTACGTAGAGCAGAATCCATGGGGTTACAGTTGGCGGGCTCTGAACCCCTACCACCCCCGAAAAACGAGGTAAAAGCCCCTTGTTTTCACACGCCACGAAAGTGCTGTTCATTCAGACATGTTCGGAAAAATTTTGTTAATGGCTTAGCTATCCTCAAAGATGCCAACTTCAGTGCTTTCAGGTGATTGTTGCCAACACCGGGAGAACTATTTGTGAATAACAAAGCTTGTTCAACACGGTCGCTGAACTAAAGTAGATGGTAACTACTAGTAACTTCAGGTACGTGACAGATGCTGGTGGCACGTCGGAATAAAGGAGCCTACTGGGGTCGCACTTTGGTTGCACCCTCGGCGGTTTGAGCATGTACGTTTGCTGTGCTAAATGTGTGATCACACTCCGGAGCCTGTTCACCTGTATATAGAGGCTCGCGTTTGGCACAAAAGCTTTGCGTTAGCATCTGATAGTGTACTAATTTGTATTCACAGACAACTGTGCTACAGTGATTATGATTCATACTATCTTTGCTCCACTTGTCAGGGCTAGCGTACCATATGTACACATCCCAAGCTGTGTTGGTTAACGCCACATTTTTTTGGGTTCTGTTCCAAACGAATGATTGTATCCTTACAGAACGAAGAGGTCTGTTTCCCGATGTGTATTTCATTAGCTCACTGAACTTGTCAACAAACACCGTCCAGGCAGTGTCAAGAGAACAATCATCCGAATACTCCCAGATGGCATCTCCAATGAATTCTGTTGGCATGCCATCTTGCGCGATTGTTCGAATCTAGCCATTATGCCTTTGTAGATATTTCGCATAGCACACATTATCGGAAAGTATTGCTACCTGACTATTCAGCCCCAGAAGGCTCTCCATCGTTGGTTTGTCGAGCATGGGTGGGCGAACTGACATGGTTAAATAGCGGGATGCTTGCAATAAGGTCTTGTAGGTCGACTTTGAATTGTTCGCTTTGGATCTCGAATCTTCCAGGTGGTGAAAGTCGAGTCGCCTGAGCTGAGCACATGGCAGTATGGATATCGCAGAACCCTCTCCAAGGTTGTCAGACGAGACTCCATCTCTTGGTTTGACAGTGCGAGACGATAAACTACTGCCAAAAAAGCAAGTGTTGTTGCGACTCCGTCGCAGTCTGCACTAGAGTGAACACGTGAGCAGCTTCTCTGGATAGTCCACCAGTTCGCACTACAATGCGCTATCGGTGTATTAAAGTACCTCATCGTACTTGCTGTGGAGATCATTTTGAAGCAGGCATATACCATTTATCACGACTTCGGCGTCCGTAATTTTGGGCACAATCAAGTTCTCTTTACGATTAAGAGGTTCCAGGCAAGCTTGTTCAGGAGCCCATCTGCGTTAGTGTACATGAAGAATTTTTTCTCTGTGGTGAAGTGTGTATTAAATGTAATGCTGTGCCGACTGGTGGAAGGTCGGACACTAATAATTTTTTAAGTGTAGTGATCAGGAACTCAATTGTGTCTCATCGAGTCATAAAGCCATTATTTTTGTATGTAACGCATAGGGTGTGTCCACATGTCCCATCGGCTAGTTGTAGTATGTTATCCTAACCGTTGTCAAGAAGTAGTCCGACTAAATTGCTGTCCTTGTGTGGTTGGTTAATTGGCACTGCATTGATGTGGAGCTTGGTATATGGGCTGCTGCGATTTGGATACCAGCACTACAACACACTTGCTGATATTTCTATGAATTAAAGCGCCGCTTTCATAATCTCTGGGCCACATACTTGGTAAGTTGACGATCTGCACAGTATCGAAATATATTGCGCTATGACGCTTTCTAAGGACAGGGTCTGCGAATATTGCGCCACTGTTCCCGTTCGTGTGTAGTCGCTTCGCAATCATCATTACCTCCAGCCTTGGGAACACGGCGCACAAGGCTGGTCCTGAGTACGGATTCCTTTGCGTACTCATGCAAATCATGTTTAGCTCCTTTGCACCCGCTCCAGGGGATATCCTGAAAGGGGCTGATGGAACGTGGCTCATTCCCAAGACAAGCTATCGA